CATTTTCTTTATTAAAACCTACTTCTCTCTCAGGCCAAGCACCATGTTGTCACTCCCTCTTGTGTAGTTGTATACAGAGGCAAGGACCATTCTAGTGCCCCCCCACAGCGGCACCAGACTGACATTTGGCTGTGACCATGTGACAGAATCTTGACAGAAAGAATATGAATAAACAAGAATGTGTCTCTTCCAGGCTGGGACTTTTAAGAAGTTGGAAAGCTTTCGCCTCTATTTTTCCACTTCTCTCAGCTGGAAGCTCAGTGTCTTATGGCCGCACGGAAGAATAATACCAGGAAATGGAAGGAGCGTGGGTCCCTGACTCACCATGAGGAAGACAGCTGCCTGCTAACCAGCAACACGTACATGAACAAGAAATAAATGAGTATTGTGCTAAGCCATTGATACGTTCTGGTTTGCTTGTTATAGCATCCTAACAAACACCACTTTGTCTAGACATTCTTTTGATGGAATTATGAAAATAAATCTAGGGCATCAAGGAGAAGATTTAGGAGCAGTATTTACTAAATATCAAGGCTTTCCAGAAAAAAGTCTTATTTCATGTAAATTCACTTTAATCTCAATTCTTTGTCTCACCTACTAAGCTAAGGAGGCATCTATGATGAGAAACCCGTTAAGCTCTACACAGCACTGAAACACAAAGGCCTCTAGGTTAATTTTAAAGGAAAAAAATGTTGTCTAGGATTGTGCTGTTTTTCCCTTTCCCTCTTGAAGTAAAATCCCTCTGAAATGCTTTTAAAATTTTTTCAGGTATCATTCCAAACTGATTTCCATAGTTCAAGAAAGAAAAATGTCTCAATATTTCCCCCAAAATAGAACACCAGATCCTAACTGTGTTAGAAATTCTGGTTTATACTATCTACAAAGTTGGTTTATTATTAGAAGCAACTTGCAAACATATATAGAATCCTCTTTGTTTTACATTCCAAACAAGCCACGATGTTTTGAAAAACACAACTTTCTTCATAAGGAAAAGGATCATGACTATTAGGGCTGCAACATACATCCCAGTTGTGAAATTCAGGACCAGGATTCAGGGCATTCCTTTGCCTATCAAGAAGCCAGCACTCAAGATCCTGAGGTTCTCTCCTGCACTGTGCAGCTTCCTTGCTGTGAATTGTCAGGCACCTTATCAAATATTTATGCCTTGAATTAGGGGTCTGTAAAACGATTAAAATAATGCTCCTCTTACTCATTAGGGGGCTCCACAGCTCAGTGTTTACTGGATGTTTCTGGGTGCCTATTTAGCAAGTTGCAGGCCATGAAGAGAGAAAATACCATTCGCCTCCAAAAAGAAAAAAAAAAGTTGTTTTTCTTTTTTCAGGCAAAGTTGGACATAGTAAGCTCTGGTTTTGTTGTTTAAATGCTAGCCCTGTAAAAAAGGTACTGATGGTTTTTTCCTTTAATCTAATACCTTTAAGTAATCCCAAATTTTAGTTAGGGAAGAAAATGTCAAAAGTTCAACTATGGCTATCAGTGCATGATGGAGGTAAGGGCTCCTCACTTTTTTTTCCCCTTCATTTTCTAATTTGTCTACATTAAACAGACATCACTGTTATAATTAAAAAATAGGCACACGCAAATATTCTTATTGTAAAGAACTGTTTATAGTACAGAGGCCAATTATGACAAATGGAGTTATTGGTCCCAATTCTTTGCTCCCCTGCAGCATTGTACATCTGCACCTTTGCCAAGGTATCACGTGGGTAGAACATGCTTCCGGACCTTGACTCTGGGCTTTATAATATGACCTGCTCTGGCCAATAGAAAATTCGCAGACATAATGCCCACAGAAGCTTGAAACGTGCCTGAGCTGATGGACATGCACTCTCATGCCATGGATTAATTGCATGGTTTTAATTCACTTTTGTAATTAAGGGACAAGGATCACCAACAGAGAGAGTCAGCCCTGGATTCCAAAGGAGCATAAACTTTCCCACCTAGGAGTCACTCCAATTAAGCCTGTCAGAGTTTACTAAGTACCTTCTGTGTTAGGAACAGTGCAGTTTTCTGGAGCCACAACACTCAGGGTCAAGTCTTGGCTCTGTTATTTGTGAACACCATGATCTTGTGCCATTTATTCAAACTATCTGTTCCTCAGAGTTTTCATCTGTAAAATGGGCATAAGACTGCCTCCCTCACAAGTGGATAAATATGTTTAAGAACTAAGTAAGTCAATAAATGTAATTCCCTGCAAACAGTGCATGCCACACAGTAAGCTCTTAAAGTTAGCTATCATTATTAGTGATAAGAAGATGAAAACATCACAGATCTTCCTCTCAAAAAGCTGAGTTTAATTAAACTTATCAAAGATAATTGGGTGGCAAAAGTTTCAAGCTACAAGCCTTCACAAAAAAAAAAAAAGAAAATTGTTTTAAAGAAAGCAGTAGAGGGCGCCTGGGTGGCTCAGATGGTTAAGCGTCTGCCTTTGGCTCAGGTCATGATCCCAGAGTGCTGGGATCGAGTCCCACATCGGGCTCCCTGCTCCTTGGGAGCCTGCTTCTCCCTCTGCCTCTCTCTCTCTCTCTCTCTCTCTCTCTCTCTCTCTCATGAATAAATAAAATCTTTAAAAAAAAAAAAAAAGAAAGCAGTAGAAAATTGCCAAAGTAAAGACTTTTAGATTAAAACAGGGCTAAGCAAGAGGAAGATGGCTGGTCTTTACCATACAAAATCTATCAAGCACAGACTTCTGATGGCAAAACCACTTTGACTTAATTAAGTTCAGCAACAAGTTATGTTCCAAGGTAAGATCACATGTGATTATTCATAGCTGCCTATAACTAGTGGAAACTATGTTTCTTAAAGATCAGAAATGAGATTTTCTTTCTGCTCCAAGTGGCCGCTAGCACACTGCCTGACACAAAGTAGAAACTCAGTGGATAAGGTACCCAAACTGATGTTCAGAAGCCCAAGTTTTCCATCAACTGCAATTCAATTCATGCTGCACATAATACTAATAGCCATCCATCAGTGGCTAAGTGCTTTGCATAAATTCTTCCATTAAATCCTCAGCTAAGCTATTTAGAGGACTAATTAGAACATTTTCTTCATATTCCAACAAAACTTACAAGCAACTGTTTTTAAAACCAGACTGATGTTCGTGAGATTCTTTTAAGCTCTCTCTCTCTCCTAAGGGCTAATAAACATTTTTTTAAATTATCTGACCTAACATTTAACTATCTAAATTAACTGTATAGCACACCAAATTTTGTAAGAGTAGAAATGCCAGAGCTATTGAGATTATGAAATGGGAATCAACTGCAGATTTTCTTTTTTTAAAGCTGTAAGCCAAATGTCATGATATCTGCATCAACACCTATACCCCTACATTGTTTTAAAGCTTTAAGTCAACTCCTCCAGCAAAAATTGGAGAGTCTCATTATTGCCCACGGCCCCTCCTTTTGGTTAAAATAGTTTAACCAAAGTAAGTAAATTTCCTAAGTGAAATTAGTAAGCAAAGGGATGAGTATTCTAACCATTAATATTTAATTCCCCCCACCTACAAAATAAAGGTTGGACTACCTAATTTTTAGGATCTCCCTGAAAAAAGCAAATAGTCTGAATCTATACAAGGAAAGCAAAGAAAAATTCCCCAACAAGCATTAAAAGAATACCAGTAAAACTCAGGCATGAACATTTACTTAAACTTAGTGAAGTACAGCAGGTTTCTTTGTGTTTTTTTGTTTTGTTTTGTTTAGTTTTTGATGAATTTCTTCCCTTTGGCCTGACGTCAGTTTCACCCTGCATTCCAGCAGTATGCCACAATGGGGCAAATGTTCTAGACTCTACTGAGCCTACTGTCAGAATCATTTCTGTTCCCAGAAATCTCATCTCCAGAAAGTCAAAATCCGTAATTCTCCAAAAAATGTGAGTAACTCAACTTATTTTTCAGACCACTTAAGAACTGGCACAGTAGAGCATCACGTACAGAGAAAACTCTGCTTTGGGGTTTAAAAAAGAGTTTCTCCAAAGATATTTATATTTAGAGGGAAAAAGCACTCAGAATGAAATAGAAATTGAACCTCCAGTGACTTAAAGTCACATAACATGAAAATTTATACAGTGAGTTATTAAAAAATGCTTAAAATTATCTTAAGTTGGCCATCTTTCAAGTCACCACAAGTGATTTGTGGGTTCTCTGTATTTGAAAAGTTTTTAAATTAATTTTTACAAAATGATGAAAGAGCGTGAAAGGAAAAAAAGGATGAAAGATTTGAAGAGATACTTCAAAGAAGATAAATGCCCAAAAAGCACATGCAAAGATGTTCAACATCATTTAGTCGTCAAGAAAATACAAATTAAATCCACAATGTGATAGGACTATCCATCCATTAAAATGGCTAAAATTAAAAAGGCTGGCAATACCACCAGTTGGCAACGATACAGAGCAATCAGATCACTCATCTGTTGCTGGTGGGAATGTAAAGACGGTACAATTTTGGAAACAGTTTGGCAGTTTCTTATCAAGTTCAATATACGCTACCGATACATGCACCAACATAGATGAATCTTAAAAACATACTGAGCGAAAGACGCCAGCCACAAAAGAACATGTACTGATTCCATTCATGTTAAATTTTTAAGATAAACCTAAGCCGTGTGACAAAAGCAGATCTCTGGTTGCCTGGGGCCGAGAAAGGAGGAGGGGGGGAGAATGACGAGATCGGGCCGAAGAACCATTCGGTATCTCGACTGTGGTGGTGGCCGTGCGGCAGTATACATTTGCCAAAATCCACACACATGGACACTTAGCATGGGTCCATTTTATTGTACATAAATTTTATTTCAGTAAGAAACTTCATTTGTAAAATCCTCAATTTTACTGCCCTCTGGATTAGATCCGCTTTCACCAAGCAGTCTGCAGAGGGGCAGGCCCATTCTGAAGCAGGCAGGTTTTCACACGTGGCACTCGGGCACCTGTCAGGACCCGCTGGTGGGTCCATGAGGTTCCTCCTCTGCTAGGTCTGTCACTCAGGACTCACCTGTCAGAGCCCCTCCCAGGCTGCCCCGCCGCAGCTCTCGACCATCCTCACTCAGCTGTCTTTTAAACCTCAGCGACTTTGCAGGGCCAGAAGTCACATCTGGGTTGCTGCACTTCCGAAACGGCATGGGTGGCGGGGAGAGTATGTGGTCAAGCTGCAGAGAGAAAGAAGGGATGTCACTCACTGAGGACACTGTCAACACAGCCAGCATGCAACGCCAACTCCTGGGCTCCTCTTCTCTTATCCTTCTCTAAATCCCTCCCACCCAAGCCTGCTGCTCATTTGGTTACTTTAGACAATTCAGGGTTTTACTGTCATGTTCTGCATCTGAAAAACATTCTGGCTTACTGCAAAATCTCAATAGCAATGATTTTTAAGCTGTGGGTCACAACAAACTAGTGGGTCATGAAATCAAGTTTAGTAGACGTAAGCAGTATTTTTTTTAATACACTATAAGTTGTTAGAGTCCAATGAAGGAAGGAAAAGTACCATTTCATGAAATGTCTGATAAAGCTATGCTTGTACATGTGTCCTTAGTCACTGTGTCAAATATATGTCTTTCCATGGGTCATGATCTCTCTAAAAAATGAATAATATTGTTCTACAAAGAATCAATAGATCACTGCTTTAGCTGTCCACAAAAGAAAATCCACAAGCTGCTGGTGCTCACAAATATGCACAGGGAAGGGCAATTTCTAAGCACCGCAACCCTTAATGCAAATCAATACATCCCTGTATCACTTTATTGCTTTTTAAAAGAAAACCTGTCACAAGTACAGCATCCTTTCTTGATCAAAACTCTCCAGAGCATAGGGATAGAGGGTACATACCTCAATATCATAAAAGCCATCTATGAAAAACCTACAGCGAATATCATTCTCAATGGGGAAAAGCTGAGAGCTTTCCCCCTGAGGTCAGGAACGCAGCAGGGATGTCCACTCTCACCACTGCTATTCAACATAGTATTAGAAGTCCTAGCCACAGCAATCAGACAACAAAAAGAAATCAAAGGCATCCAAATCGGAAAAGAAGAAGTCAAACCCTCACTGTTTGCAGATGATATGAGACTTTATGTGGAAAACCCAAAAGACTCCACCCCAAAACTGCTAGAACTCATACAGGAATTCAGTAAAGTGGCAAGATATAAAATTAATGCACAGAAATCAGTGGCATTCCTATACACCAACAACAAGACAGAAGAGAGACAAATCAAGGAGTCGATCCCATTTACAATTGCACCCAAAACCATAAGATACCTAGGAATAAATCTAACCAAAAAGGCAAAGGATCTGTACTCAGAAAACTATAAAATACTCATGAAAGAAATTGAGGAAGACACAAAGAAATGGAAAAACGTTCCATGCTCATGGACTGGAAGAACAAATATTGTGAAGATGTCAATGCTACCTAGAGCACTCTACACATTCAATGCAATCCCCATCAAAATACCATCCACCTTTTTCAAAGAAATGGAACAAAGAATCCTAAAATTTGTATGGAACCAGAAGAGACCCCGAATAGCCAGAGGAATCTTGAAAAAGAAAAGCAAAGCTGGCGGCATCACAATTCCGGACTTCAAGCTCTATTACAAAGCTGTCATCATCAAGACAGGATGGTACTGGCACAAAAACAGACACATAGATCCATGGAACAGAATAGAGAGCCCAGAAATGGACCCTCAACTCTAGAGTCAACTATTCTTTGACAAAACAGGAAAGAATGTCCAATGGAAAAAAGACAGTCTCTTCAACAAATGGTGTTGGGAAAATTGGACAGCCACATGCAGAAGAATGAAACTGGACCATTTCCTTACACCACACACAAAAATAGACTCCAAATGGTTGAAAGACCTAAACGTGAGACAGGAGTCCATCCAAATCTTAAAGGAGAACACAGTCAGCAACCTCTTCGACCTCAGCCGCAGCAACTTCTTCCTAGAAACATCGCCAAAGGCACAGGAAGCCAGGGCAAAAATGAACTATTGGGATTTCATCAAGATAAAAAGCTTTTGCACAGCAAAAGAAACAGTCCACAAAACCAAAAGACAACCGACAGAATGGGAGAAAATATTTGCAAATGACTTATCAGATAAAGGGCTAGTATCCAAAATCTATAAAGAACTTATCAAACTCAACACCCAAAGAACAAATAATCCAATCAGGAAATGGGCAGAAGACACGAACAGACATTTTTCCAAAGAAGACATCCAAATGGCCAACAGGCACATGAAAAAGTGCTCAACATCGCTCGGCATCAGGGAAATCCAAATCAAAACCTCAATGAGATACCACACCTCACACCCGTCAGAATGGCTAAAATTAACAAGTCAGGGAACGACAGATGTTGGCGGGGATGTGGAGAAAGGGGAACCCTCCTACACTGTTGGTGGGAATGCAAGCTGGTGCAACCCCTCTGGAAAACAGTAGGGAGGTTCCTCAAACAGTTGAAATTAGAGCTACCATTCGATCCAGCAATTGCACTACTGGGTATTTACCACAAAGATACAAATGTAGGGATCTGAAGGGGTACGTGCACCCCAATGTTTATAGCAGCAATGTCCACAATAGCCAAACTGTGGAAAGAGCCAAGATGTCCATCGACAGATGAATGGATAAAGAGGTGGTATATATACACAATGGAATATTATGCAGCCATCAAACGGAATGAGATCTTGCCATTTGCAACGACGTGGATGGAACTGGAGGGTGTTATGCTGAGTGAAATAAGTCAATCAGAGAAAGACGTGTATCATATGACCTCACTGATATGAGGAATTCTTAATCTCAGGAAACAAACTGAGGGTTGCTGGAGTGGTGGAGGGTGGGAGGGATGGGGTGGCTGGGTGACAGACATTGGAGGGGGTATGTGCTATGGTGAGCACTGTGAATTGTACAAGGCTGATGAATCACAGATCTGTACTTCTGAAACAAATAATGCAATATATGTTAAGGAAAAAAAAAGAAGATAGCAGGAGGGGAAGAATGAAGGGGAGTAAGTCAGAGGGGGAGACGAACCATGAGAGACGATGGACTCTGAAAAACAAATTGAGGGTTCTAGAGGGGAGGGGGGTGGGGGGATGGGTTAGTCTGGTGATGGGTATTAAAGAGGGCACATTCTGCGTGGAGCACTGGGTGTTATGCACAAACAATGAATCATGGAACACTACATCAAAAACTAATGATGTAATATATGGTGATTAACAATAAAAATTATTAAAAAAAAAGAAACACCAACACGTACTACCTAATTAAGACAATTAACTATTTCTATGCCCGTTTCCTCATCCACAAAGTATTAGTAATAATACTACATATGTCCTGAGGTTATTGTGGATATTAAAAGAATTCATATATCCACTTAGAACAATGCACAGAACATAATAAGTGTACAATAAATGACAGCCAGGGTGGTTATTAAAATTGCCATATAGGAAGTCACCCCATTCACAAATATCTCCACATGTGTACTTCATCACAAATGGCTTGCAAGGAAATTAAATGGATTACAATTTTACTGAGTTGTCTTATTTTCCTTTACGGCTCAAAGGAGAACTTGGCTTGAACTGTTTTACAATTATTCCCGGCTGTTATTCTCATGCTGTAGGGTGTTCAGCGTGCACGAGGCAGAGCCGTACAGAAGTAAGGAGCCTAGCCCAAATTTGAGCTGTTAGGTGCAGTATCGCAGGGTCATACCTTGGCCAAGCTACTTGACTCCTCTCTGAAGTATGGGCCTCAGAGGTAGGAAGGAGGCAGGTAGACAATGGATGAAAAGGGTTCGACACAGTGCTTGGCACATTTAAGCACTCATTAACTAATAACGTTGGTAATAACTGTCACCCGAGCTGAGCTCAAGTTCCATGTTCTCTTAGCCTGTTGACTGATAAAGCACATGGCTATTCACCTGACCCTTCCAAGTGGCATCTCTCAGGCATTCCTACCTCTAACTCTACACTACTCCAATAGAGAAAAAAACATTTAACATGCTCACCACTGCATGAAGAATATGTACCTCCCTTTCCCCAGCATCCTAAATTCTAACTATACAGACTGAGTCAGACACTGACAGGGCTATAATCATGGCCCACATTGTAGTGGGGCTCATTTAACTGACTTTGCTGACATTCACTGTGGATTATGCCACCCAGAATGCATGCTTCCATTTAAGGATACTCTAAGAAATAGCCATTAAATCTGGCCACGATGTTGTACAAACAAATGAAGAGGAGCCTCTGTTAGATAGTATCCACCTTGTCAAGGTATGCTTCTGGGCACAATAGGGGACAAAAATCCCTGCCCGCCAGAAGCATCATTCTAGTTGGGGAAAGAGAAACCTGGAGAAAATGCTGTCAGTTCTCTGTAGTACAATCAGGCATGCTTCTGCTGGGTTATGTATGGTCTGATTTCACCCTGGGAAACCACAAAGCACAGAATTCAACACATTTCTCTCATTCAACCACTGGAAATTACAGGGCAAGGTCTATGCAACCCACCACTACCACCACGTGTGGCCAGTCCAATCTCTGTCAAGACATCCTGGGTCTGCTTGCGGCACCAACCTCACACTGGATTTCACTTTACCCCCATGCTGGAGATTGAATGTTTGTGTTCCCCCCAAATTCTAATGTTGAACACTAACCCCCAGTGTGATGATATTTGCAGGTAGGGCCTTTGGGAAGTGATCAGGTCATGAAAGTGAAATCCGCCTGAATGGGATTAGCACCTTATACAAAACATCCAAGAATTCTCTTGCTCCTTCCATCATGTGAGGACACAGCTATAACCTCTATGAACCAGGAAGCAAGCCCTCATCAGACACCAAATCTGCCAGTGGCATGCTTTTGAACTTACTGGCCTCCAGAACTCGGAGAAATGAATGGTTGTTTCCAAGTCACCCAGTCTATGGTACGTTGTTACAGGAGGCTAGACTGCCTAAAACACTCTCTAAGCGTGGTTCTCAGGTCATGGTAATTCTGCCACCGAGGGGACATTTGGCAATGTCTGGAATCATTTTTTGTTTTCACAGTTTAAAGGGAGCAGGGATGCTGCTGGTATCTACGGGCTAGAGACCAGAGATGCTACTAAACACAGGACAAGGCACAGAAGAGCCCCCAACCAGAAGAATTACCCAGAGTAAAATATCCATCATGTCACTCGT